TGATCATCTGAACGTCTTTCAATTGCTGCCTTGTCTTTTGCGCAGATGACAGCTACCTGCGTTGCGAATATGAGCTGCCTCTCTACGACACTTCAATTTAAATTGAAACTGACATGATCATTGGACCACCAGTACTTGGTGTACTCTTCCCACAGTACAATGCGTGACTTGAAACTTGGGTCTTTTTTCGCTTCATCCAACCTTTATCTCGAAAGGCCAAGTTTATAGGCTACATCATTAGGTAGATCTCTTGCCCGGTACCATTTCTTGTAATTCAACTCCTTCCTCTTAAGATAATCAAGCTTTTTAAAAGGAGCCATCACCTGGAAAAGACGATGTTTGTCAGCGAAAATGATGACAACGACGTCCAGGCGGGACTGAAAAATTGTAATATTGCTTGGACTTTTACTTATCATAATTTTTAGCTTTTGCATAACCCCTCTCTCTTCCTCTTGTGAAGAAACATGTCCGTATGTTCGTTCAGCCTCAGGAACCGTTGGTAAATGGTTTCTTTCTGACCGCGATGCGGGGAAGAAGCAGCATAACCGGGCACCGGCAAACGCTACCGAAGACGGCCACGCTATCATCGGGGCTGAGCGGGGCGACCAGGTCCCTTTCAAGGAACCTCGCCGACGAGCTTGATGACGTTGCGGGACCAGAACCGGTCTATGAAGACTATGACAAAGGGACCGAGGGTTTTAAACCTTCGGTGGCGAGTGCAGATCATTCAGCATTTCTGCAAGCGCCTCGCCCACCAATCAACGGTGATACACCAGCCGCCAAGCGCGTTTTCGACCGCGTACAAGCGCTGATGCAGAATGATGAGTGGATGCAGCTGTTGAAGCCCCTCCCCAAGAGAGAGGCCGACTGGCCTGCGCATGCGCAGTAACTTCAATACCCAGTCAACTCGAAGTCGACTAGCCGAGTTGCCGAGGATTCAGTCTCGCTATTGTTCTCGCTGGGCTTCGAGAATGAGACGTACCCATCTACGATGTCGCTCCAAGATTGGAGTCCTCATGAAGCCGGAGCTGATCTCCGGAAATGGAAGAAAAAACTTCAGAAGGCATTTGGCGCTGTCGGCATCAACGCTGGAAAGCAGCCTGTGAGTTGACCAACCGTTCATGATGAAGATCCGTCCACGATTCCGCTGCCGCGGCCACCCCAACGACTCGACCAAACTCCTCCGACCAAGCGTAGGGCTGAGCGCGGTGCCTTTGGCACTACCGAAGCTTCACCGTACTTTCAAGACTCGCACATGGTTACGCCACCTTCGGAGAGCCGTATGCAACGTGTGTACACTGGTAACGAGAGTTCGTTCGGTCGCTGGGGCGGTGCGCGAGCTCCCAAAGATGGTGCCGGACGTCGTCAAGTTGACAGCGATGGCTCGTCAAGTGACGATGACATTTTGGTGCGTACATTCGACGAGGAGGATCCTCAAGTCGAGATGATGCGTCAGATGAATGAGCTGGCGACGCTGAACGACTTGGACCCGACACCAAGGATTGAAATGGCATCGCACCGACCGTCGGATCGCATCACGCCGTTCTCAGGCTCTCGCAGCAAGAGCGTGAGCTGTATGCAGTGGCTCCGTGGGCTCGTCTATGAAATTACTGGAGCCCATACAGATGCCGACAAATGGTGCATTCCATTTGAGCTTAGTCTCCGGGACGGAGTTATTCATTGGCTCCGTCAACATCCGAAGAGGACGAAGAGCAAGTGGAAGCTGTTGAGCGATGCGTTCATCCGCTATTACTGCTCGGAGTTTACGCAGACGGCACTATCCTGTTACTACTCTGCAGAGCGGGAACGTAACGAACGTATGTGCGACTACATAAACCGGCTGAATGGCTACGCTCGGACCGCCCGTCTACACCTTGAGAAGAGTGGTCGCGACGCGAAAGAACACGTACAGAGGTTCCTGGCAACATGCGATGATGAAAAGCTGGCGGGGAGTCTTTACCACGCTCGAGTCACCGACATTCACGATCTCGAGCAGATCATCGAAGCTGTTCTCAAGGGCAAGAAGAGAATGGCCAAGCGTAACAGTGAGTATCGATACTCCAAGAGTCGTGATGCGCGACGCGACGATGCCTACGCCCGCAACAATCGGCGTGATGACCGTCGCCGCGATGACAACCGCAATAACCCAAGCGTGACGCTCATTGAAGCCACGGTGGATGACCTACTAGCTGAATTCATCAAGCTGCTCAGGGGGACACCGAGTATTCAAATGAAGGTCTGAACGCTTACAACGATGTCCAAGACGAGTATTACGATTTTCATCCCGATAAAACGGATGGTAATTTCTCATTGGATGCAAATGACCGATACCTCGCCGCGGCTAACGAAAATGAGCGCCGTATAGCCGCTTAACGCATCTACGCACGTTCTGACAACCGTCGGATGCGTGGAAACACGCCTGATCGCGAGAAAGGCTTCAATCTCGATCGCCGAGGTGGTGACCGTGGGTTCAATCAGGACCAACGCGGTCGACATAGCTTCAACCGCGACAACCGACGCCCACAGTACGGACCATGCGCGGTGTGCGGTACTCCGCCCACTACTGCAACAAGCGATGCACGTTCGGCAAGCAATTCCACGATGCTGGACAGTGCGAGCTTTTTCGCAACTTCCAAGACCTTGCCAAATTCATGCGCACCAAAGGCACGCAGGAGGTGCCCCCACCAGAGCTCAAGGCCGTCGTTCAACAACGCCATTTAAACTAGGATGACCGCCAGCTACAACTGGGTTGGTCCCTATCGGGCTGTCACAGTTAGCCGAGCCCTCAATGGAAGCAGAGTGTATCTTCGCTTTTATGGGGCAGAGTGAATGGCCTGATAATTGCGTAGCAAGTGTGAACGCGACGGAAAATGAAAAGGCGAGAGGTAGAATCCTCGGTGGAGGTGTTAGAGAGAGCGTGGAGTGTGCTGCTGATGATGAAGGCCCCTGCGAGGGTTCGCTCGGCGTGGTTTCGAGTGCAGCGCGAGACGAGCCCAAGGGTCACTCCAAGATGATAAAGTTGAACCCTGGCGAGCGACAGGGGTGGTGGTCGGCCAAGAAATTCGACCGACGGATCAGAATGAGAGCTTGGTGCAAGGCGCTGTAAACGACAAGCGGACGAGGATCCTTCTCGACACAGGAGCGAGCGTTAGTGTGATCACTGACGCCGTTGCCAGTAAGTTGCGGCTCCGAGACGTACCTGATCACGGACGCCGTTGCCAGTAGGCTGCGGCTCCGAGACGTACCTGCTCACGGACGCCGTATTGACATTCAAGGAATCAGCGAAGGCAAGGTGTCTATGACACGACGAGCGTGCGTCAAGATTACGCTCGGATGGGAGATGGTGTATGAATTCGAGATGTGGGTCATGGCGCATAGTGCAGGCGTCGACGTGGTACTCGGGACCGACTTTGTGATCCCAGCTGGGATTCGGTTGGATCGGTTTCACGGCGCAGCGCAATTGCCGCACGAAGGTCAAATCCCACTGATCAAGACCGAAAACATGATCAACAGCGAAGAGTACGGCTCCCACGGTAACGCCGGGCCACCTGAGCATTTGGACATTCAAGCGCACGGGTGGTGAGAATATCGACTAGCAAAGCGCCAGGTCGGGCTGGAGGAACACGTATTATGGGTTCATCGAACGAACAAGTTAATTCCGTCAGTGACGAGGTTTCGGCGTGGACGACCTCAGAGCATTCGATTGACCAACGTGTCCGACCGAACTGTGTACCTATAAGCACACGACTCGATCGCGATGTGGATTCCAGATGGGGATTTGCCGCGAGATGACGGCTATGTGCGTCTGGATTCCAAGAAGTACCAAGACTGGCAAGCGCTGGCCTATGAAAATTGCAGAGACCGCGAGCTGTTTTAGCGTGAGTGTGGAATCTACGAGCAATGGCTTGCAGCTCAGCCTTCGGCAGTCGAGCGACCAGGCATTTAGAGCCCAGTGGGGTGCTAGTAAGGCCTCTTGAAGACTCGCTAATGGACTATAGCGATCGTCTGACATTTGCAGAGCGCTGGGTAATGATCATGGAGGAACGTGAACAAGGGGAGGCCTGTCTGGCGTCTGGGGGACAGCCGGGGGCTCGGCTGGTGGTCAATTTTCCGAAGAGCCTTTGGGCACTTATACGACAATTCACGGCGGAAGCAATAATGCAACCGAAGCCTCGATAGCGCGTACACACGAACTACTGAGCTCAAAAACGCTGAACATACGTCAACAAGTGTTCGTATCAAGTCTGGGGTGACAACGGAAGCGACAAGTAACATCACTGGATTATATGGAGTCACCAGTCTCAACGAAGTTGTCCCGGCCTTGTGCGCAGCTAAATTTGCGAACGAATCCTCGGTGGTTGATCCAAAGGATGCAGACGTCGCGCTGAAGGTGGTGAATACGGCACCGAGTGCTCGTTGCGAGATTGGTGCGAATGCCGGACTGTCAAGACAACTGTCATCCGAGGCGCTGAACAGAAGTCAGCAGCCCAATATGTCGGCTGCCTGCGCATTCAATATTGCGAACAAAGCCTCGGCAGGTGACCCAGAGATGAGGAACCAGGCTGAGAAGGAGTTGGACCGAGTGCCGAGTGCTCAAATCAAAGAGGATGCCGACGTTGACTTGAGGGAAGAGTCCATCGCGACTTTGGACGAGACGTACATGTCGGCTGCTCGCGTGCTAACAACCGTGAACATAAGTGAATTTAAAAATGCAGAAGTGTGGTAAAATTTGTAAACAAATTTTTTTTACGCGATCTGATTTCGTTTGTTTTATGATTTTTCCATTTTAGTTTTTTTCGAGCTCTGTTAAAATCGTCGACATAATAAATTGAAGAAGTGCTGAAGTACGTACAAAAAACTATTATAAACGTCTGTATAAATTGTCCAGCTTGAAGTCGCAATACTTCTGGCGAAAGCTCCAATTGACCCATACCTAAGTCCTCGTTTCAGCTTGCGCTATAACTTGTGGTAGCACAACCGAAACCTATCAACTACTCCCTCTAGGGAATACTAAGAGCATCCCTTGGTGCACCAGCGGCAGGAACCCTTCTCGCACTAGCCTTTTCGACTGATTTACGCTTGACACGCAGACTCATTTCTCCCACGTACGGGATTTCTTCTGCTGTGAAGGTACTCGACCTTGTAGTCACCAGGATATCGCCTCTGACAGAAAGTTGACCATTTCGCTGAAGCTCGATACAAGAACGTACACGGTAGGAGGAAGATCCTTCTTCTAGCGACCAGTTGAACATCTCGAGGAAGAGAATTAGTTGACCTAGTGCCTCGACGCGCATTGTACCAAAGTAATCTCCGTAAGAGCCCAATCCGGCACCTGTCGACATCCCATTCGGAAGCATCCGAAACACGCGTTCCTTGCCATCTAGTACCAGACTCATACAGTCAAGACAACCAGCCATACTTTGCGGTGTTCGTACTCGAAATGACCTCCCTTGGACGTCAAGAGCTACCTCAACTCGTACAATCTGCGTCATCATCTCGACCATCGAAAAGAGTGACACGTTGGGCACTCTGGGGTCAGCATCCATCTTGCGACCGAAAGAGGAGCTAGCTTCGTTGATATCCCACTGCACGTCATCCGTGTCCAAGAGCCATTCTCCATTCCAGTTGCGCTCGACAGCATTGTGAAGAGGGAACGCCGTCTTGAAAGTGGCCTTACGATCGAGATACTGTGGTGAGCTTATAGTACCAATGTAAATATCTCGCATCTGAGCGACGAACATGTTCCACCCAGCGAAGCTTTGGCCACTTAAGATTTGCCGCACTAGAGGCCGACGACTGTGGAAACATTCATGCGAATACACCGCTGCAATCACCTGCTCTGCCATGTTGGTCAAGCTGTGCAGGGTGGAGGCTGCAAACACCTCTGCGTTCAAATGCTCCTCTAGTTCAAGTAAAAACTGAATAAAAAACGACCGGATCGCCTTCTTGTCCAATGTCAGAGCGGCGTTCAGGCGGAAAAACTCTCGAAACCAGCCAAGCGTTTCATGAGAGAGCAACCACAGCACCGTCTGAATAGCTACTCGAAGGAGAGTCTCCAGCTCCAGTGGGAGTGGACCACTGCCAGCAGCTCGTACACTCTCCTCTACGTGGGCATGCTGGAGTATTAACCGTGAGAAGAAGTCCAGATTGTCTTTGTTTGGGGTCGACCTGGACGTGTCAAGCAGTTTGAGTTTGATCGAGTTCACCACTTCGTCCACTAGCGGCGCATAAAGTCTGACAGGTACCCAGCGGACGAACGCGAGAAGTAGAGCCACATTCTTGGATACCGCTACGGCGGGTGCATTGACGTGCTCCCAGATTAATTTATCTTGCAGAGGGTGGATCATTCCCTGGTCGCTTGACCTTGGCGGAGTATGTCGACGTTGACGTTTGGCTTCATTTAGAAGATTCTCTTTATGAGACCCACCTGGGCGAGTAGAAATCCTCCCACCCCCTAGTGAGACGTCACGTGCGTGAGCGATTGGCATGACGCTCGCGTTATGCGCCGGTGAGTAGACACTTTGAGGAAGTATCTGTTTCGACACGCCCATTGCACGTTGAGTGCTGGGAGACGCACTTCCAGTTTGAAGTCCTAGTGGTTCTCCCTTCACTTGTTGCAGACTCTGTTGTGTAGCCAACTGCACAACAGCGTGTGCTTGTGCAGCTTGTAGTTGGTCCAGAGGAGCTCGTCGGAACGAAATGTCTTTAAAATCAGGCGACGAGACCACATGCAACACGCGGTACAACTGCGTGTAGGCCTCTCGACTTGAAATGGTCGTAAAATTGTCGTCCATGTCCACGTCGACGCGCTCCATCACATAAGTTTTCAGTGAATGCTTCATGAGCCTCTGCGCCTTGTTAGCACCACTCTCCCAGTCGTAGTACCACCTCGGAAAAGCTTTACTGTTTCAGTGGAATACTACAGGTTTCTCCTCATCTAACGCAGTATCTGAGCCTCGGATCGTGACCACCAGTCCGGATGGCCGATCCAAGACCCCAGCATCCACTGGCCGTCCAGATTCGTCTCTGTCTGTACACCCTCTTGGATTTTTTCTACCTCGACGCACTCGCCAGGTCGGAGACTCACATCATTGACCGCTTCGAAGCGGGCAAAGACTGCCAGCGTCTCACTGGGTGGAGGCTGAAGTGGGACACTTCCAACCGGACGTTCCGCTAGTCGAATCTTCACACTCAGTGAGGATCCGCAGTAGCTTCGGTCAATATGCTCCGGACAGCAGTGCGGAAAGCAGCGCAGGATATTAAGCCCCCTGGTGCGATTGCTCCTAGTTGAAGTAAAACAAAATGATCAGTCGCTACGAGTATCACCGCATGAGAATCACTCTCTCAGGCGTATGCAGAAAGTGAAAGTGGACAGCGCTACGCGATTACGAGGCCGTACCGCTTTTACTCGGAATGAAAGAGTTGTTCGTGACCGCACTCGAGGCGGAAGTAGCTACAGGCGGCTACGCGTAGCGGCGGCGATGGCGACGCCATGTGTTTGGCTGATGATCTCTCGGTATCTTTCTGGCAACTGAGGAAGGTCGACGGTGGGTCCCATGAGGTTGCAGGATCGGGGTTCGTTGCTTATATGGGGGAGGTGGACGCAGAATACAGAAAATCACATACATAAACTGTTCAACATTGAATGGCGAACTCCTTTCTGTGAATTTGCTGAAAAGCTAAGCGCGCGTATTTATCACGGAAAAGCTGACTACAACTTCATTTTATAAAGCTGTTACTAGAGACAACCCGGCAACTTTTCACAAAATTGGGAAGCCGTATAAATGTCATTTCTACATGTAGAGTGCGGAAGCAAAGCTCATTTACCCGCTGCACTATATACCTCTACGGCTATTGCGCTAATACTTCAGAAGCAAGCAATCCGTTATGTACGATTCAAGCTTGCGGGGCTGTAATGCAATGGATGTATCTGGCGGCATGGTAGACGCGCAATACACCACGAAATAACGTTATCGAGATGGCGGCGTGACAGGTGGGAAGATGAGCATTTGATTGTCAAGCCTTCCAGTACTCGAATAGATGTACAACGATTCAAGGCTCGTTTAAGCAAGGTCAATTTTGCTGGAGCTAACCGAAGTCAAAACTCTCTTCGTAATTCGCCGGCGAGCCGCAATAACTTAAAGAATGATACCCGTCGGCCATTAATATCCTGTCACATTGAGAATGCCCTAATTATTTTTTTTTTAAAATTGCAAAATTGTCGACATGGACACTGTCACCCTTACAGGGTTTGACAGCCATATCCAGTTTCGGCAAAACCGTTTTACTCGGAGAAATACTTACTTTTTTTTGTGCAGCACCATTGTCTAATTTTATGCAAAGAAGGCAATGGTCGATGCGGCTACCGCAAATTATGTAGCTTCGTAAAACACGATTAAATCGATAATGCAAATGTCTACTTTGCAATAATATTTGAAACATCCTTGTCTCGCAAACACAAATGAGGGGTTTAAATGTATCTATGGAAAAGTTACTTGCCCGCCATGATACACAACACTTCGAACTACAGCTAATTCAATGACCTACACTGTGTCATTTCTGGTTATAAGCGCGGGGTCCTCTTGTTTTAGTTCTTTCAAATTGATCCGCTGCGTTCTAAAAAACAATGACGACATATATCTACTCGGAAGGAAAGGCTGGGGCATATAATCACATGTGCACGCTTCCGGTATGTTGGCTCCGTGGTTTTGTTTATTTAAACCGCTGTTGAACTAGATAAACGATACAACAAGGTCTCCAGGTCGTGATATTATTACATTTTCTTTGGACTAGCAGTTGATACACACGGACATACACACGCTAAAAATATTTACCTTCACCCTCAGCAGACTCAGATATAACTCATGCAGCTGACAGCGACTTTGTTCAAAATAATCAGTTTGGTCCTCGATTACACTTTCAGGCTCAGAATTACGGAAACACAAGACAGCCAATCTCCAACGGTGTTGTGAAAGGGACCAATAAGTAGCACTTCAAAAGAGTTTTTGGACTACAAGAGAGTAGTGAATATAGACCGAATATTCAATACGGGCCCTCCGTCGTAGTGTAACCACCATAATTGGTATATTAGGATCATCCCTTCACGGTCCGACCTCAAATTAGCTTTACTGTATGTAGCCATTAGCACACACGTAATACGTCACCCCATGTGAGCGCATATGGTCTTTTATAGGCTGTACGAGGGATGTCATTTTTTCTTCTCCGCGATTTAAGCCGCGTAGTGCGGCCACAATGCATACTTATAATTGGAAATGAGATTCTTTGGCAAACACGTTAATTGCTGCCTTTAGGTGACTGCTGTCGCAGCGTAGCTATGATATTGCACGCATAGTTGTAGTGTTAATACATCTAACAGTCTGTTCGCTTTGTCCTATTGCTTTTGTATTTGCACTACCGTTGGCGATTATCAAACGTATTCGTCTAATATCTCGTGAAGTGAAAGATGGCAGCTGGTTACGTTTTATATTACATTAGGTGAGCGGTGTACAGGTATCTCGACCAAAAGTATGTTATAAACGACGGGCTAACTCACGAGGCCTGGCTTCTGGTTGAGTACCGTTTTAAATTAAGGGGCTTAGTATGATTGGTTCATTATTCGAATTTCTTCCAACGGTAGGACTGTGTGCCTTTGTAAGAAATAGCTCACTCATGCGGTTGATCGTAGCCACTGTCACACAGTGCTAGCTTTAAACGTCTCTTGGTAAAATATGCATAATTAGTGAAGGAAACGGTGAGTAGGCTCCGTCATAGGACACAAAAGGGGCAAGTGTATTGGTTATTTTTGCACAATTTGCAGCTCGTTGATAATGCACTTAGGCGCTCCTAACGATATCATGACAAACAAAGCCGTGATCTAACTGGCAAAGCGTTTGCTAGGATTAGAGACCAATGCAAATGAGATGGCAGGAAGCACCACGGATATCATTTCCAAGTACCACGGAAAGTGTCACTACCATCGTGCCACCTAGTAGCATGTTTCTTTTTATCTTCATTATTCTAAGGCTAAAACTGTTTTCGTGATCACACGCTGATGGTATGGTGGTAGGCAAAATTAAAATACTAACCACACCAAGCCATACCGCAGTTTGATGCCGTGGCATCTCATAAGAGTGGCGGTCGAGCGCTACATTTGCTAAATTGTGATGTTGTACCTACAATGTGGCTGTATACATTTTATGAAAAGAAACCCTAATAGTTGGAAGCTAGACAGAGTAGATTTCAAACGCATGTGTTAGGGAGATAAATACAGTTGACTTACCACATGTTTATCTTTTGTTGCATGCTGTCCGTTTTTGTGTGCCACTGCCCGTATAATCACGCTTAAAGTAAGTTTCAACTTTAGGGACATACACAGCCACTAAGGCTTCCAGCCCCGATTTCACGCAAACGTTTTCACTTCCACACGGATCTGCTTGGCGGACACCTTTGTTTTCGGCCAGCGTAGTATGGGGGATGCGCCATAGCTCACGAAGCTCTTCGGTTAGTTTTGGAGGCTTAAAGCACGATTTGTTTGGCGTCGTACTTGTTGCGCTTCATCGGCGTTTACCCTCCTACTGCGCAGCTGCAGAAACTATATATGATATCGTCATTGTTGTCCGTAATACAAGTAGAAAGTAGTGAAATGCATCGCCATCCTAGATATGAGACAAGGCTTTCTAAGGCATATCAGGGACTGCACGCACTATAGGAGAAATAAAAAGTCAAAAGTGGGACTGTATAGCAGAACACTTATCGGATCCGACTAAATAATCTGAACTACGTTACGAAATTAGATTGTATTGTTGTGATGGACACATCAGACTAATCGTCATGACCGCGCACGCAAGTGGACCGGACGGATAACTTGTGTTGACATACCGTCCACCCGGAAATTATAAATTTAATAAAAAAAACGAAGAAGCTCGGAACTCGATCAGGGCTTCGGTTTGTGTACCCTACCTAACTTGCGATTCAGGGGTTGTATTATGAAATAGCTGCGCATATCTCCCCGCGGAGCTTGATTGTGTTTCTAATGATTTCTAGAACGTCGCCTTCAGAAAGGGCTCTCAGCTGGTGGTCTAACCAATCAACAAATCCTGACGGAGTACGAAGTTTGTATTAATACAAAACCGCACTTCGTTTCTCCCACCGCCCGATTTGCTCGCGATATTAAGGTGTAGTATACTGAAGAGTGGAATGCGCGGCTCGCAGGTGAGATCGGCGCTGGGCCTGCCTCCGATAATACCGCGCGGACAGGCTTCGTGAGCACCCCGCTCGCCTTAGTTAACAGTGACTATGCGCGCTCGCGTCCGCTTGTTTTAATTAGTCTGAAGCACTATTGCAGGTACACATTGACCTGCGTATTGGAACAAGCATCATCTATCTACCCGGTAATAAAATAGTACAAGTCATGTCTGAGACCTACACATGGTCCTAAAACGTAAGACATGATTTTTATGCATAACCGCTTTAGCGACTCTATTAGTATTCACTGCCTTTCAACCCCTCTAAGAGCATCTCCATCCGATCCGCAAAAACTATAGCAGCTGCTGCGCTAACAAAACGAAGTCCACAAATCATCATCACCACCCACACTCATAAACACTTGCAGTATGTCATTATGCTGAGCAAACCTTTAACAAACTTGTCGTCCAATATCGCAGTGGACCCCATCATGATGCGTTCTTGCAAGGAGCGCGACCAGGATTGCGCCTACGTAACTATTTAGTATGCACGTCATCACTACCACCTCGCTTAGAATGACGACAAAAACGCTCCTCCGGCATGCTATTAATAGGTCTCTCCCCCAGTACAGCAATTTAGTAAAAAAAATAGGTCAGAGGTCGGTATGAGCACTAACGAAGGGCTCTTAAAACGTACTGAGTATCGGGGGTAAGATTTCGTTACTACCAGGAAAAATCATATCACCGGTGGGGAAGGCTCTATTTTGAAATTATCCGTAAGACCTAGTATATGAAATTACACTTGGCGTAATGACATAGCTATCAATGCTAATTTAACCCCGATCTCGTGCTACAACACTCTATGTAGCAGCACAAAGCGGCATATTGCTAAATATTTACATATCATCCTTTAATTCGTCACCTACGCTAATCCCCCCCCACGGTGTCATTCTGCCAGTTGCGATACACATTTCATTGCACTCAAGAGACAGCGAAATTTGTTTTTTCAGCTGAAAGAAATATACATAAAATTCTCGTGCTGAAAGCGGCGCGACTGGTTACAAAGCCTTATAATCTACGAACGACAACACCCGCGTGCGTAGGACACACTTTTCGCAACCACGACTGGGGCTTGACTCCATTCGCCCCTCTGTCTTTCTGAGTGCTTACTTCACTTGAGATTCAGCTTGAAAACCAAGTCAACCATGTTGTCCTCACCAGTAAGGTTTCCACTGAAAATGACTGAGTAAAGCGATGTGAAGTCGCCCCATGAATGTTGCGCGAGCTCGTATAGCCTTGCCTCCCTGTGCC